TAATAGTCTCAAAAGCTTCAAAGCATACATTCTGAGTTCGAATTCTGGGTTTTCAAGAAATTGTGTGATCGTTTTAAAGCCATCCCCAGATTTTATATGCAAAGCAACTGACTCTGTAAAAATAAACAATTATATAAATAAATAAATAAATATATAGCATCATGCAGCATAATGCGGGCCAATTTAGAAGGAGATACATGCATAAAATGCACACAGCTATATAACGCAAGCATTCTCACTTCATTAGTTTATCAGGTCACAGCAGCATCCTCTGAATGTCTTTATACATGTACTTATTAATAGACTAATGGAAACCCAATACTATCAAAGTTCGACAAGAAACAAATTGATCGAACATTTCATGACATGGAGTAAGAGAGACAATGAACGAACACATGATAAAATACTGCAATATTATTATGCTATTAATGTATTATAAGCTGGTTGACTAGAAATTACCTGATGCCTGCGGGGAAGATGTTATTCCATAGAGAATGCGAAGAACATATACTTGACATTGAGATGACACCGAGTTTAAAAGTTGCAGAAGCTTGAAAACTACACTTTCTGACTGCATTGAACTCCCCTTCATGTCAGCAGATGCTAATTCCCAACGCCCTGGCTTTGATACTATATTTGCAATTGTTGAAGCAGCTAGTGTTTTAATTTCATTTGAAGGCTCCTGGCCATCAAATAGAACATCAATAAGAGACGGAAAGACTGGAGACTTGACAAGGATGGTTGCATTGTCATCCAACCCTGACAAGTTATATAATGCTTGCAGACTTGGTTCTCTTCCTTCTGGCTTCGACAACAAGTCAACAAGTACTCCAGCACTTTGCCTGGCAATTTGCTCTTTATTACTGTTTGTCAAGGTCATCCTTCCAAGCAGAGACGCCATCTCTATCTTTACAGCATCAGGACCTGCCCCAGAATTTATCCAAATTCAGTTTGTTTTAATATTTTATCGCTTTCTGCAAAAGCAGATGTCTTAAAGAAAAGCTGATTAATAATCATTAGCATCCACTCCATCATGATTTTATATTTTTGCGGCTGGAATAAAAAGATAATACTAGAAAACATACCATCATGCAACCGTGAAAGTAAAGGTTCAAATCTTCCAGATGCTGCTAAACGTTGCACATTATCCTCCACCCTCTCCAACTGCTTTAAGACTTCCTCGGCTAACTTGGACAAAGCAGGAAACTCTAGATTTCCTGCCATACTTGTGAGGAGAACCAATGCACCTTTCTCTGATGCAACTCCTATGCAATAAGCTTCATCGCTGGAGAACTCCAGTAATAACTTCACAGCATACTCCCTCTCTTTCTCTGAGCTACCAGTAAGACTGTGTACAGCCAATCTTGTGATACTCCCTTCGAGCATTATTTTCTAGAGATACAAAAACTTTGCATCAGAAACTGTGATATACTTGTTAAAAAACTATTGCCAACGAAACTGTGGAGTTTGCAGCAAAATTTTATATACAGTAAAATAGATAGTTTGTCATTAATTGCTTCTCCTAGTTTTCAAAATAGCTTCTCTCTGTCACTGATAACAGCATCTAAAGAATTGTGCGACAAGCAAAATCATATTTTGTTCCAATAGAAACTTTCAAAAAGAAAACTGACATTTTACCAGGAAACTACTTTGAAGAGCTTTCTGCCAATATTTGCTAATAAAAAAGCAGAGTCAAAGTAAATGAACGACTTCAGTCATGAGTGATGAGTCAAAACTTATCAACAACTTAGACACTTAATTTTGCCACGCCATCACATCTTCCATTGTTTGTGCTTCTTATTATGCTTTTCTCAGTAACTTACTCACTTCCTGCAGTGGTTTTTGCCGTAACACATTGAATAGGACTCATTGAAGTATTTAATTAAACAAGGGCGTTCCCATGCCTTCAACTTGCAAAGTACTAGAAAGGCGGCAGTAACTGCCGGAGCAGCATACGGTTTAGAAGCTTTGCCGTAGAACTGTAAGCAAATTACATAATCATACAATAACTTTAGGATTCTGAAATAGGGTTCAAGAATCTAGATGGAAAATTCTCTCCCAGATGAATCAGTATCGGGTGCTAACAGAGAAATCTGAATAAAGCAAACGCTATATATTCTGATTTACGGCCGGGGTTTTGACCTCATGTCATAGTACTGCTCACATAAAAAGAAATTATTATTAATAGGTAGCCAGTTAAAATATTTTATCATACCATGCTACCCGTTTTTACGTGAAAAAGGGAATTAATGTTATTTTAACAAGATATATATCCGGTTATCCCATCCTTTGAAGGCTTGGGAGAGGAAAAAGTCTTTTTCAATCACTGACTGAGAAAATGGTAAACAATGAAAGACACTGACCTTGCTTTCTTCATCTTTAGCCATACTAACTAAAGCCGTCAAAGCTTTGCTTCTCAGCCGTGATCCAATAACTTTTGAGCTATCAGTAAGAAGCTTCCCTATCAGTTGTACAATTCCAGCATTCCTGATTACGTATCTGCTAGCAGGATGTTCTTCTGAAACCTCATAAATATTATCCAAAGATCTCTCAACGTGATCTATACAAAGTGGCTCCTCATTCAAATGGTCAGCAGCAGATTTGACTCGATACTCTATAACCCTGTTAACCCACTCATCTATTGCCCCTGCCAATCCAATATTGGGTTTCAGTTCCAAGGATTTGAGAACCTTCCCAGTTACAGGACAAGTTGGGTCACGTGCATCTTGAATACACCTGTCGAACCAGTACTCTATAGCAGTCCGTTCATAGGTCTGGGAAGTTTCCAGAACTACGGGATTCTTCATCACTTCCTTGGTCAATGGGCACAGAAAATTTTGAAGGGGGGAATCGCTGCATCGTCTTCAAGGTCGAAGTCCAATTTTCGAGTCTCAATTGCAGGTTCAATAGACCAGTTATTCAAAATCCTTTCAAGGGAAACTAAAATCCGCCGCTCTGATAAAGAATTTGAGCTCAATAGGTCATTCTTGAACAGCTTTATTTCGTTAGACAACTCTGCATGATCGTCAGGGTCAATTCCCAAGGCGCGAGCCAAATCCATGACAATAGCACTCTGCACCGCCTTGGTTGTTGGTCTTCCAACCCCTTCTTTTTCCAGCGTACATTGAACTCTCTCTTCGGTCTCTGTAACCTATTTTCAGGTACATTCAGGACAAAGAAATTGAGAACAGACGAAAATTACATTTCCTCAGACATAAATGCATCAAAGTAAAGAGAAAGGGCGAGTTACCCTGAACTGAACGAGCTTCATGTCTCTGGAAAGATCCGAAGCTTTCTTTTGGAGGTCAGGGTCGTCTTGAAGAGCCTGATCGAGCAAGGCGAGCCAGCCTCCTATGGAGAAAGTGTGCTCCTGAAGAGATAAGCACAGCGACTTGCAGTTGATCAAGACGAATATCTTGCTTCTTTTCTCATAAACGGAAACAACTTCTGCAGCCTTGGACAGATCACTGGACATTCCTTTAAGGGTGGTCTGCACCGACGACGGGAAGCTCCCCGGCGACAGTGATTGAAACGACAGGAGTACCTGGTTGACGACAAGCTGAAGTCGCCGGGCCAACCCCGAGAACTGTCGGGGATTATCAAACGAGTAATGGTGTTCGTGATCACAGAGATCAGTCAATGAACGTTGGATCGATTGTACGGCAGAAACCACCGAGGAAGCCAGATGTTCTGACGTCATTTACCGGAGAGAATTGGAGATGAAGGTGGAGAAGAGAATGGGAAGTAGAGAAGTAAGAAGGTTTTGGTTCGATGTTGACGGATATGGCCAAAGCCGCCGGAGATTACGGTGAGTCAAGTTTCGCCGTTGCTTTGCGCGCCATGGCTTTGAAGAGTCAAATCTTGACTCGTGAAAATTCGATTTGTACTGATGATTGATGATTACAGCTTTACAGGTGCCGGGAAGACCAAAGAGGCCGGTGAGGACCTCTTCTTTTCCCTTCTCACCTTCTTCCTTTCTCTTCCTTTTTTTAAATTATTGGGTTAAAATATTTCAACAATTAAGATTTTAATTTTTATAAACTATTTATTAAAAATTTAAAAAATATTTAGTATATTTACAAATTATTAAAATTAAAATTTAATAAATTTTATAATTTATAATTTATTTATTTTTATAATTTAATATTTTAATAATAATTTTAAAAAGATTTAAATTTGAACTATTAAAATATTAATCTAATAGTTAAAAAAAGAACCGGAAGGAAGGAAGAATATGAAAAACGAAGAGAGAGGAGATTCCAAACCCCCAAAAGAGGAATTAAAATTTGTAGTCCAAAAAAAAAATGATGCCTCGGTTATTTTAATTTTTTAATTTTAACATTATATAACTTTTTGGGAAAATTACTGTAGAGTCCCACAGAAGAGAATTTACTACTGAAAGGTCCCATGAAATCATAAAATGTATATGAGGTCCCAAGGGACTTTATGGCAAAAAATTTCAAACGTGCAATTACTTTCTTGCCCTTCTGATTAAAGAAAGAAACTGAAGCACACGATTGAGAGAAAAACTCCTATCGGTTGTCATCTTCATGAAATCCGCCGCCGTCTCGTTCGTGTCCATCCTTGTGTGCTCCGACAGCTTCAATCTCCGGCGAGGTCTGTCAGTGTCTGCTCGGTACATTGTCGCTCGCTGCTCCGCACTCCGTCGGTCTCTGGTCCGCACTCAGTCGGTCTCTAGTTGGACGCCTCCAATCTCGTGCACGGTCCGTCGGTCGCTGGTTCGCACCCCACTACCAGCGAGCCTCGTGGGTTCCATCATCGATGACCTTCGCACCCCACCGCCGGCGAGCCTCTCTCTCTTGGTATATCATATTGATATTATCTATTACTGGTATATTTAGGTGAGGCGCTTCTCAGTTTCAGAGCAACAGTTGGCTATTGTGTAAGTTGTATTATTTAAATTTCGAAGTAATGTTGGCTATTGTCAATTGTTGTGCATAAGTTGTTATTACAGTGATCGAAGGTTGTCATTAACGACCCCATGACCTGTCCTGTTATGTAGGATGGAAGACTTGTGTAAGTTGTATTATTTAAATTTCGAAGTAATGTTGGCTATTGTCAATTGTTGTGCATAAGTTGTTATTACAGTGATCGAAGGTTGTCATTAACGACCCCATGACCTGTCCTGTTATGTAGGATGGAAGACTTGTGTAAGTTGTATAATTTAAATTTCGAAGTAATGTTGGCTATTGTCAATTGTTGTGCATAAGTTGTTATTACAGTGATCGAAGGTTGTCATTAACGACCCCATGACCTGTCCTGTTATGTAGGATGGAAGACTTGTTCGAAGGTTCAGATGCATTGTCCATGTCTCCACCCAATGTGTTTAGTGAAGACCCACTATCATTGCCATGTGGTTCAGAAATGATGTCAACCCCAATTTCGGAAAGGAATTCAACAAAGTGAAAGGGTCTGGTTATTGGAGAAGGATAAATTTTTCCTAATGCAGTAGCCCTTAGACAAGCACTATATAGGTACAGCATTGCTGATAAGTTTTCATACAAATTTGTTTGGCCCATTGCGAAGGTTGTTAGCCACTTCTCTTCGGGTTGTCAACACCCACTGTTGAGGTTGTAAATGAATTGCTGTAGTAAAAATCTACTGTAATCCTATTGGGTTCAATTAAAGCTGTTAATAACTTTAAAATGCTCTTAATTTTTTTTAAGGTCGTTATATATGCTGATAATACAATCTATTTAGAAGCTGTGGCATCCCACAGAGTGATTTGTCAGGGACACTGCCCAGGTTGTTAACCACTTGTCTTCGGGTTGTCAACAACCCCCGTTGAGGTTGTAAATGGATGTGGCAGAGATGATTGTGATATATGCCTATCATGTCATCATGGTTACCATTTGTTTATCCAGTTTTATTTAGTCTGCATTTGTGGACATGATCCGTGTGTGGAACGAAGAATTTCCTGTTTTGTCAAAACACATGAATGTCATTACAAAAACTTCATAATCAGTAAATGATGTCAATACACATTAACATATCTTAACATCTAGCTATCACTACATGGTCAAATAAAGAAACAAAATCTGAACTTTACATTCAGCTGTCAAATAAAAAAAACTAAATACAATCTATGCTCATCGTTTATTTCTTCTTCTTGCTTTGGGAGTTTCCTCGTAGCAAAGACAGCACTTGATCACCATGCAGGTTGTTCTGATAAGTTACAAGCCACCACAAGCATCCAACCTTCAAGTCATGGATTTCTTGAGGGGATTACAAGCATCCAACATGCACAGCATACAGTCACAACCTACACATCAGACAATCACAACCTACATTTGTGCCATTCACAACATACACAGCAGCCAATGACAATCCACGCTAAACCGAATGACAACAAGAACAGCAGGAAATTACAACCTATACATAAGCAAGCGACAAACTAACAGAGGCTAATGACAACCTGCACACAAGACAATAACAACCTTCACACCAACCAATCACAACATACAAATAAGCAGTTGACAGCGTACATACTAGTGAATGACAACATAGAGTAGTAAATGACAACATACAGGATAGTAAATGACAACATACAGAGCAACCAATTACAACATATAAAGAATAGTATATTCCCACTGAGGGAGTTACTTGATATAACCCTAGAAAATACAGGAATATGATGAATGAATGAGATTTGTCCATCCTTATAACAACATAAATTGGATGAAATGAACCAGAAACTACATTAAAATACTGCACTCACGAACTTCTGAGCTGTGATAGGTTTCCTAGTTCATTTGGAATCGCTCCACTTAGGTAATTGCAACTTATGCACAACAATTGACAATAACTAACATTACTTCAAAATTTAAATAATACAACTTACAAAATCTTCCATCCTACATAACAGGACAGGTCATGGGGTCGTTAATGACAACCTTCGATCACTGTAATAACAACTTATGCACAACAATTGACAATAGCCAACATTACTTCGAAATTTAAATTATACAACTTACACAAGTCTTCCATCCTACATAACAGGACAGGTCATGGGGTCGTTAATGACAACCTTCGATCACTGTAATAACAACTTATGCACAACAATTGACAATAGCCAACATTACTTCGAAATTTAAATAATACAACTTACACAAGTCTTCCATCCTACATAACAGGACAGGTCATGGGGTCGTTAATGACAACCTTCGATCACTGTAATAACAACTTATGCACAACAATTGACAATAGCCAACATTACTTCGAAATTTAAATAATACAACTTACACAATAGCCAACTGTTGCTCTGAAACTGAGAAGCGCCTCACCTAAATATACCAGTAATAGATAATATCAATATGATATACCAAGAGAGAGAGGCTCGCCGGCGGTGGGGTGCGAAGGTCATCGATGATGGAACCCACGAGGCTCGCTGGTAGTGGGGTGCGAACCAGCGACCGACGGACCGTGCACGAGATTGGAGGCGTCCAACTAGAGACCGACTGAGTGCGGACCAGAGACCGACGGAGTGCGGAGCAGCGAGCGACAATGTACCGAGCAGACACTGACAGACCTCGCCGGAGATTGAAGCTGTCGGAGCACACAAGGATGGACACGAACGAGACGGCGGCGGATTTCATGAAGATGACAACCGATAGGAGTTTTTCTCTCAATCGTGTGCTTCAGTTTCTTTCTTTAATCAGAAGGGCAAGAAAGTAATTGCACGTTTGAAATTTTTTGCCATAAAGTCCCTTGGGACCTCTTATACATTTTATGATTTCATGGGACCTTTCAGTAGTAAATTCTCTTCTGTGGGACTCTACAGTAATTTTCCCTAACTTTTTTATCAAAACATTACAAAACTTGATTTTTGAAAGATGTTTCAATTTGTCCCCAAAAAATGTCCTAACTATTTAATTTTTAATTGGAAAAAGTCCATTTTGTTATAAATATTATGCTGTGTGGACCATCATAACTCCATAGCCTCCTAGGATTCCATCTCATGGCTAAAATATTATACTCCTTCGATCTTTAATATAAGACTCATTTAACTAATTTAATTAGATTAAGAAAGTTAGATAAATTAGTTAATTATAAGAAAAGTGACATATTTTCCTAAAACACCATAATCATCTTTCTTAATACCACCTCTCCCTCATCTACTTGATTATGGTTGAGGGAGTATCTATAAGGGTAATTTAGAGGAAATTGATAAATATGAAAAATGAGTTTTATATTTAGGATCAAAACCAACTCAAAAATTGAGTCGTATATTAAAAACTGGAGGAGTATTTTATAACCCCCAAATTGAAAAGTTTTTAATATCTATTCCTTATAACCTCCAATTGTATAATTATGTTGCTTAATTCTCTTCTTTATGTATTTGTAACTTTCTACGTTAGTCTTCAATGTTGGGGGTCCTATAAATAGGAGATAATGTACACAAATTTGAGATAATGAAGTGAATGAGAATTTCTTATTTTCTCCTCAAATCTCCTCTTATTTTCTCCATTTCTATCATCTTAATCTTTGTACTTTTCTAATTTTCACAGCACATGATTAGCATTATTATGTTGTTTGTTTATATATATCTAGTTTATCTTATGTTGTCATACATCTATCATGACATTGTATATGATTATGCACTTTGATTTATATGTGAATTTATTTGTTATTTATATTTAGTTATAAATTTGAATGTAATTAATTTATTTAGTTACAATATTATTTTGATTCCATTTTATTCAATACCTATAAGCTATAATACTTTTGATCCTGTAATTAGATGACCAGAAGTCATATTAGTTTTGTAATGATTCTTTTGTAAAAAAACACTATGGGAGCCTTTAAACGGCATGACAAGAAAAATTTATGACACTTTGATAATCTAATTAGTAACAAATATCAAAGTTCAAAGGCTATGAAAGCTAATGGTTTAAACATTAAATGACACAAAAGAACTTTATTTGAAAGATTTTTGCTATAGTCCTAAAGACTAATGTTTAGAGAAATTGATTATATGTTATTGAAAGCAAGGAATATGCAACATACTTTTAAAAAAAGGAAAAAAACAAATTCTTTTATTAAAAATATATATAAGTAATACTATTTTTTTATTATTAAATTATAAAATAAAAAAAGAAATAGCTTTCCACCAAATTCGGTGGAAAGTTGGAGCAATTGACTTAAGGAAAGATTTTTGGGGAAGGATAGTAAATGAAAGAAGAAAATGGAGAAAGGGTAATTAATGAAGAAGAAAAAAAGAGAAAGGATAGTTGGATAAGGAATGAAGCAGTCAAATATAAGAGGATGAGGATGATACGAAAAGAAGAGAAAGAGATAGCGAAAGGCAAAAAGGAAAAGAGAGCAAGAAGTTGAGTTGCAAAGCCTGATCTGAAGATTAGGACAAGATTTAGGAATCATTTAGGTACACAAATATATTTCTTTTTATCAAATTTTCTTTATAAGTATTTTCTATATATTTAGAGCTTTATATTATTGGTATTATTATAATGTTTAGAGAAAATTGTACTATTTGGGTATGGAGTAAATATAGAATTTTGATAATATATGACTATAGAAATTCAAAGATACATTATATTTGTTCAATAATTGTTTTGAGAATTGTAAATTAAGATTTTAGTTAAAAGATTTATTATTGAAAGACACATAGAATGTTTTTACTGATTAAATTTAAGTTAAATAGTTTATTTGAGTTATTCAATATATTATTGAGGTTTTAATCGGTTAGAATATTGAATAAGTTAAAGATCAAGGAGATGAGCAAACCTAAATTTAGTAGAGCAAATTTGAATTTGATGCAAGAAAATTTAAATTTTCTTGAGCAAATTGAATTTAATGTAAGGAAATTCAAATTTACTGCATCAAATTTATTCCGTTGTTAATCTATTGCTAATCTCTCACAAATTTTGTCACTAAAATTAGTAACATAATTCAGTGACAGAAAATTTTTGTCGCTAAATTAGTGAAGGATTAGTAACAAAATTTTATTTTGTCGCTAAATTAGTGAAGGATTAGTAACAGAATTTTATTCGGTCACTAAATTAGAGATGGATTAATCACGGAATTTTATTTTGCCACTAAATTCTATTCCGCTAATTCTGGTTTAAATGATTAGTGATGAAAAAATTCCATCACTAACTCTCATGTTACTAATTTTCATCGCAATTTCGTCACTAATCCGTCATAAAAAATATAAGATACATATATAATAATTATTTTTTAAACATATTATTAAAATAAAAATATAATATATCATAATTTTTAAATAATATATTATACAAAAATTAACAAATACGAAATTGTATTAGAAAAAAAATAAAAATAAAAATAAAAATATATAATATACTTATTATTTTGTTAAATATTTGCATAAAAATATAAATTATTAGAAATTTTTTACTAAAATATAAAAATTAAATTCAAATAAATAATAATATATTAAATTATATAATATATATTAAATTATGTATATAATAATTATTATATATATTTGTATTTGTTATTAGAAATATTATATATATTTATTTTTGTATAAGAATTTTGCAAATGCTTCTCAGCTCAACTAGTAAAGACTTCAGCACAAGCACAGGAGGTTTCAAGTTCGAACCAACTTCTTCACAAATTGGCTGCGTTTGTGACGTGACGATAATGTGGATAAGGTAATAACATGGCAGCTCATAATGATAGACATGTAGCGATGACGTGGACACTATGATGACATGGCTG